CAAAAAAAAAAGACAGTTTTTCACTATTACTAAAACAAGACTTGCAAATATCATTATTTATTTTATTTTGTGAAACACATCAAAATGGGTCAATTTAATTAATAATATTTATATTTTTATTAAAAAAGATAATTTTAAACTCAATTTTTGAAATAAAAAAATACATACATCAATATTTATACATGCATCTAAGTATCTGACTCATTGATTATTGCATGATCTCCAAAGATAAAGTTCGAATCTCTCTTCTTTAAATTCAAAAAAAAAATACATTTATATTCATACACTACAAAACTTGACTTACAATTATTGAAATCTAATGATAAAGAATAGGTACTCTATTTTATTTTATGATAAATAAATATTCATACATAATAAATTTTTTAAATATTAAATCTTATTTTTAAAAAATAATAAATAAAATAAACAAATTTTATTTACTCTAAGTGAACTCAAATTTTAAGATGTGTCATTAAATAAATGAAAAGGTAGGTGGTAATAAATGGCATCTTGTTCAACTGAAGGATGGATTATGACTTCTGCCACTGTAAATACAAAGTGGGGTCCGCCCTAATTCCATGTTGTTTCTAATGCCAAGTCTTTTCCATCAATCTTTACTTTAATTATCCCAAATGAAATTGAATGTTGGATTCAACAGTTCTCTATGTTTTGTTTTTCTTCATATAATTAATTAATGTTAGTGCCAAAAAGAAACATAAAGAGATGTCACTTTAAATATTAGTATACACCATGCATATCCTTCTTTTTCGTACATTTTTTACATTAGCATACGTCACAACTCAGAATTATATAAAAAAAATACTTAGTTATTTAATTTTGTAATAAATACATATATATCTCAATTTGAAAAGTCAAGTTTGGTTTCTTTCCTCCACTAAATTTATTCCAATAATTGACTTAATTATTTTTATTTTTTAAAAATAAAGAAAAAACATTCAAATCTTAATTTTTTTAAAAAATATATACAATTAATGAACTAAATGATCAAATGCTTTTTGATATCTTTTAACTCTGTCTTCCACATAGACCAAGCATTATGTAATAAGTAAAAATCTGCACTAGTGAAAGGAGTTGTACACCAGTTTGATAACTAAATGCTCGTTTTAGAGTTTAATGTTTATCATTTCAAGATTCAATTTATTATTTTGTTCAAATTAATATATAAAAATTTTTATTGTATTCATAAAAAGAATATTAATTATAAAAATTTGTAAATATAGATAAAAGGATTAACAGTTGCTACTAGAAGATAATCATTACCAAATATATATATTTGAATCCCTTAATTCTATTAATAATAATTTACATAACTATTATTATGAATTTTTTAAAATGAAGAAGATTGTAAATGTTACATCTTAATTTGAATGAAATAATAGGTTAATTTGGTAAACATTAAATCCTAAAATAAACATTTAATTAATCTTTATTTTGACAGATTATGAACCAATCGCCTAATATAGATAGTACATATAATATTTCTCTTTTTTACAGATCCAAAATATAAGTTTGGCAATTTAAAATAGGAAAAATTAACTATATACAAACTCAACAAAGCAGACTAAAAGATTGACACATGTCCCTTTAAGTATATTTATAAAAATAATTAATTAATATATGATAACTATTGAACACTGCTTATGAATTTTAAAAAATTCTATCGTAAATATAAATATAAAACATTTTAACTAGTTATTTATCTTATAAAAAATGAAGTAAAGCACAACAATTCATGTATAACCATCAACTTAATATAAGTATATAAACGATAAAACTTCCCACAAAAGAGGCAATTATCCTACTTGCATAGCTTAGCTAAGTACCACATTCCATATATGCTAATCAAATAATGAATTTAATTTGATTTGATTAAATATTATTAGACCAGTTTAAGAATTGCCTAAATTATGCCAAAAACTATATGGCTATTGACTATACGAAAACACATCTTATAATTTTTATGTGTTTTGATCGATATTTTTATATGCAACATATCTTTTGCTGTCCCTTCTTAGGTTTATTTTTCTTGTCATTTGCTCTGCTTTTTTGCTTTTGCTTCCATATGGTTTTATTTTAGTATTATATTGTTTCTTTTTTTTAAGTTACATATGTTTGATTTAATTATTCAAATTTTTTCCTAAAAAATTAATGCATATTCTTAGGTTTTTACTTTTTTTTTTACCTAATAATACTTAAAATGGTCCCTGAATTATATTAAAACAATTCAAATAAATTTTTATTTTTTTATTACATTTAACTAAGTTCTAATAGTTTTAGTTTGAACTAAATGAGCCTTTACCATTAATGATTAATTAATTATTGATAATTAAAATATTATTTATCATTTTATGTTATGTGTTGTTGAGATAATATGTTAACTTATTATAATAGATATTTATGTGATATGATAACATAATCATATAACATTTTTAACTCTTCACTCCAATTCCACGTCAGTGCTACATGAATATAAAATAACAAGTAACATTTTGATTAATAATAATGAATCAATCGCTAATTATAGGCTATATTTAACTTAAAATAAAAGTACACAAATTTAATTGAATAAAATAGAAGAATAAAAGGTTTATTTAAATTTTTTTAATAATTTAGGATTTTTTTGGCATTATGTCTTTTTTTTTGTTATATATATATATATATATATATATATATATTTGTGAGGCAGATGAAGAGTGAAAGTGGGCACTCTTTCTCCTAAGCTCCACAAAAATTAAAATTACTTAGCCATATTATTTAGGGTTGGGTTTCATTCAAGTAGTCATGCTCGAAAGTGAATTCCAATCACACACAGACTAGACTTTGAGAGTTAATTGTGATTGTTGATAAATGATAATTAATTGTAAGGCTTAGCTACTTTTAATTTATTGTTATTCTTTCCATTATGATAGGAGGGAGGCTAATATTTTAGCTCATTCTCTAACTAGGCCTAGTCCCTTATGTATTCTTGATATCATTTGATGCTTTAATAAAATAATTTTTTGCTCGATGCAGTTCAATTTCTTGACTATATTTTTCTCTAAATGCAAACATTTATTTGATTTTATTTGACTTTTTCTAATGTTTATTATTTGTTTACTTTGGTATTTACCTCCTTTTTATCTTATTTAATATTTTTTTTTTACATAATATTTGAAAAATCACTTAAACTATTTAAGAAAATTTTAAATAAATTTTTATTTTTTTTTATATTTGTAAAGAGTTCTTTTGGTCAGAGAGAGAAGACGTGTTGCAATGAATGAATCAAGATGCGCTAAAGGCGACAGAGAGAAAAACTGGAGCAGTCCTTAAAGCGTAAGTACTTTGAGTGGTAGGTGGCAAGGGATGAGAAAGAGTTGACAGAACGGCGGATGACAGCGAATGAGAAAAGACTGAATAAAAAGACTTTATAGAGGAGTCTTGAGAGAGCTTTTTAGTATAATCTCTGCTGGGTTTCTCATCCTCCTCTCTTTCCAACTTTCAAGGCTCTCATATTTATACTAAACAGGGACATTTTCTTAGGAGTTGTTAGGAGAGCACGTTCAATCATGAGAGAATGTGCTTGTTATGGAAGAACAATTAAAACAGTTTATGAGATATTAAAAGAATGATCATATAGTTGGGTAGTGGGCGTAAGTTTTTGGTAAATGGAGTAGTGGCATTTGATAGTGTGTCACGTGTATTTTTAAGGAGTAAAAAAAGAAGAAGGAGGTAAAGCACATGTACTTTCAGGAAAGATTAAAAGGAAGTCCTTTTAACTATATCTTTATTTAAGCCACCTAAACCAAACTCTCTAGAACATTCCAAATATGAAAGTAACTCATGAACATTGCCATTTGTTCTGAGTTACTTTCACTTTCCCTACATATAGTCATTGCACATTGAGTGTTTCTATGGTTGTAACGCTCTTTGGGTGCTACTACACTTGGAATGTTTTTGTACTTGGAACACCCTGGATACTTTTGCGCTTGGAACGCCCATGGGTGCTTTTGAGTTTGGAACGCTTTTGGGCGCTTTTGTACTTGAAACACCTTAGATGTTTCTGCGCTTGTAACGCTCTGGCGGTTCTATACTTTGAACACCCTAGGCGCTTCTGCACTTGAAACGCTCCTGGGTGCTTCTGTGCTTGGAACACTAGACGCTTTTAGCCCTTCGGCGCTTCTATGATTAGAACACCTCTGGGTACTTTTACGCTTTGAATACTCTTGACTTAAAACACCGTAGGAAAAATGCCTTAAGCTCTCCTACACTTGAAACATCTTGATGTAATTATTTTGTAAAATCAGAATTAGACATCTACAACATTTAATCAAGTTTTTTATATTTTTATTTTGTGAACAACGAATTGTAATTAATTAAAATATTATTTATCGTTTTATATAACGTGATGCGTGGATAGTAATATGACATGATATATGATCATAAAACATTTCTCATCAGTAACACGTCAATATAAAATTTAAATATAATAAAAAATAAAAATTTTTTTAAATTTTTTTAAATAATTAAAATTTTTTTAAAAATATTATATCTATTTTCTCTTATTTAATTGTTTGTCTCTTGATTGAGATTAAACTATAATTTAAAAGTTTTGCATGTAAAGCTAGAGATATTATTCCCATACATCCTATTAATTTAATTGTGAAATTGAACTCATATTAAAATGCTGAAGATATCCCAAAATCATCATTTTATGAAACTAAAAACCAATATAAAGGGATAAAAGGAAAAGGGGAATCCCAACAAAAAAATGTTAAATTAGTGTTATATAATAATAATAATAATAATAATTTTTCTAACTATAATTTCATTTTCTTGATTTTCTTTTTCGGATAATGCCGTAATGAATTTCCAGTTGTCATTATTTAGGATGAGTAACTGAGGTGACAAGACCTTTTTTAAAAAAATAAAAAAGAAAATATAATTTGACGCATTTTATTTTTGGTAGTGCGGGCTTTTGCTGTCGTTTTCCCAAACAATACGAAGAAAAGAACACCTAAATTTCATAAAAGAAAAAAAAAATCCAACAACGGCTCGACTCCGTCACTCTTCGATTTCTCTTTCGAAGCCAACTCTTACAAAACTTCCTCTCTGAAAATTTTCCGTCACTTTCTCGGGAAAATAACAGAAGAGATATAAATAAGGTACCACTTCCTATGGGCCGAAACTCTTCTCCTCCGATACTCGACGGCAATGGAAACGAGAATGGCAAAAACAAAAACAGTGATAACAACAACAACGACGATCAAGGATTCTACACGATCCGTGATCGATTGCCTTTCAAGAGAAACCCTATCCACACCCGAGATCGAACCAAGCAGTCTTCTTTACTCGACCGGCCTTTAGTCCGGAACCGTCCCCGGTTCAACCGGAAAGGATTTTGGCTCTTTCCTTTGCGAGGCATTTATTTGTTTTATTTTTTGATATTTTTCTCGGTTTTCGCTTTCGCTATGGCGTCGATGCTGATGCAGAGTTCGATTGCGGCGGTGGTGTTTAGGCAAGGAGGAGAGAGGGGTTGGAGGAAGTCGGTTAAAGAAGGGCTCAGGCTCGGGAGCACGTTGAAGTTTATGCCGGCAGGGATCTCACGGTGGGTCGCCGAAGGCGGTGGACTTGATCGAATGAAATCGGCTGCCAGGATCGGCGTTCGTGGCCCTAGACTTGCTCTTGTGAGTGACTATGTTTTTTTTATTTATTGGATTAATTAATGTGAAGATGAGATTTTTATTTATTTTTTGTTTATTTTCTGTGTTTGCAGTATTGAAAATAATTAATGTGACTGAAATTTTATTTTAAGTTTTAGATTTTGAATTTTTGTAGGAATTAGTATTTCAGATATTTATTTTTCATTAGAGCGCTAAGTGCAGCTGAAACTTCTCCTTTGGGTACTTCTGAGCAATAACTTAAAGTTCATAATCTTCTCAGTTGGTAGTTTATGATTTTGGATTAGTTTATTGAAGTTGAATATCCTTTTTTTTTTTAATTTTTAAATGGTTATTATATATTGGTTAAGGAGTTCTGCTTTAGGAGTTATGGTTACTTTACTTATGAATTGCTAATGATTGTCCATTTTATTTTTAAAAAGAAATGTAGGTGGTAGTTGCTGAATAAGAACTTGAAGGCTAGCACAAAGGCATTGTTATAGGTTACCCTTTTTCTTAAATTGTTAGTTGGAGTTAAGCAAAAAAGTTCTTTTTCTATGTATCATTAAGATTAAGATTCATAATATATAATTTCCCTTCTTTATTCTAGCATGCTGTGTGATAAATTGAAATATTGAAAAATTAAGTACCGAATTTTAGCGGTGAAAATTTTAAGCACTAAATTTTCGCACTGGAAACTGTTTTGATATATGCTATTGAATATTGACTAGGTTTTCTTTTTTTGGGTGAAAGAGGGAGTTTATGATTTTAGAGATATTTCACATCTAATAAGATTTAAAATGAAAATAAAATAGACAAAAAATTAATTAAACCACAAGGGAAATTAAACGATAATTTTTTTTTTTGGCTGGCCTTAACTACTAAACACTTCAAAATTGAGCTAACAAAGTTCACTGAGAAATTTATATAATTGGAAAGTAAACTTTTCAATGTTTTATCAAATTTTTACGAATTTTCTTGCTGGCCAAGCAAAGGTTTTTTTGGCATTAGTACTGGGGTGATTTACAAATTATCTAATAAGAATTGTTTTTATTTATCCTTCTTAAAAAAAAAAAAAACTTGTACCACAAATAAAAGGGAAAAAGGGGAGAATAAGTATTGAGGACTAAAAGAGATTTGGTTGCTTTAATTGGAGTTATAGGTGGTTTATACTATATATGGTTTGGTTGTAAGAACTTTTGATGACCTATTAAGATTGCAGACTTAATCAGGAATTAAACAAGTATAACAATATAAAACCTATTGTAGGATGGTGTGGGGCAAAAGACTGAAAATCAGAAGAAATCAAGAAATCTAAGTATATAACTGCCTGATTTTATTTAAAGGAATGCTAGTGGAGATAAAGTGGTTTTATTTAAGCAATTTACCAACAAGTCATTAGGAGATTATTGCAAAATTTTGGTTTCTAAATTAGAACATGTTTTCAAAGAAAATACTATTAAATGCTTGAATGGTAGGATGCTAAAAGTTATAGTGATATTAAATGCTTACCAATACAGTGATTAGAATGGGGATGTTTTAAGTTAATTAGCATCATTGTGGACCAGACCTCGCACTAAAAGCAGCTTTTTTGTGGTATCTCTGTATTTGAAATAGTTTGACTTTTGCATTTAAATGCAAATTGACTTTCGCACTATAATTGACAGATTTTAGGGAACATGAAGAAAGACCCTCAGTCATTGATGATGCTTACTGTGGTAAAGAGTCTTCAGAGACTTGGCTATGTAATAAAGGTGAATAAAGTTTTTTAAATTTATTTTCCTATTGCTTCCCTTTTGGATATGCTCATGCAACAGATTTTATGATAAATACATCTTATATAACTTTGGAAACATGTTGGAAGTGCTAATACTTATGTATGCATGGCTTTGCTTTCTAATAGCCTAGGCGTGAAAGTAAAGTATGTTACGCACTGATCAGTTCTGAAAGTATTATGGATCCTTACAATGTCAATTTGACAGATTTATGCTGTAGCAAATGGCAAAGCACATGCAATGTGGGAGCACATAAGTGGTCAGATTTCATTTTTAGGTCCAGAGCAATTTGGTCATATTGATTGGTTAATGTATGTTATCGAATTCCTGTATTATGGATTCTCTCTTTCCCTTTTTTCTCCCTTTCCATTTGTGTTTATATTGGTTCTTATTTATATTTTCAGTTTGTGCAGTGGTTTATGTTTGAATTTTTGGTCACAATCCTTTTGGTGATAATTATTTTTGTTTGTTCACCTGGCATTGATTATATATGTTTTCTTGCATTTTCTATATCTAGCTTTGAAGGTGTTATTGCTGATTCTCTCGAAGCAAAAGAGGCCATCTCAAGGTACATTCTATATCTAGCTTGCCAGTTATCTATCTCTCATGTACAGACACTTTTTGAACACTACAACACCCCTATAGGTGTTGTTTTAGTTTGGGATACTATGATTAGTGAATTTTATATCCATGCAGCCTTATGCAGGAGCCTTTTGATACAGTACCACTTATATGGATAATTCAAGAAGATACTCTGGCAAAACGTCTTCCTGCTTATGAGGAGATGGGCTTGGAGCATCTTGTTTCTCATTGGAAAAGTGCTTTTACCAGGGCCAATGTTATTGTGTTTCCTGATTTTACTCTACCGGTAAATCTGACATTCTGTCAATACTTCAACACAGAATTTTCGGACGGCCTTGTGTTAGACATCTTATGTGGTTTCTCAATTTCTATTCCTTCTCATACCAGATGTTATATAGCATGCTAGACACTGGAAACTTCCTTGTAATTCCTGGATCACCAGTGGATGTGTGGGGTGCAGAAAGTTACAGTAAGACCCACGCAAAGCATCAACTAAGGAAGGACAATGGGTTTAGTATGGATGATATGGTGGTGCTAGTTGTTGGAAGTTCTTTCTTCTATGATCAGTTATCATGGGACTATGCTGTTGCAATGCACACTATAGGACCTCTTCTTATGAGATACACAAGGAGAAATGATGCAGGAGGGTCATTTAAATTTGTTTTCTTGAGTGGTAACTCCACTGATGGGTATTATGATGCTTTACAGGTAGTTAACTGTTGATAGGTGCATCATACATACATGCATGCATATATTGCCGGCAGCCATTAATCACACAACTCTAGTGGTGAAACTTCTTTTCAATTCAAAATGTGGTATTTGTATGCATTAATCCTCATGCTCATTCATTAGCTCCTTATTTTTCATGGAAAGGGAAAACAATACATCAAAATGGTAACAAAGAAATATTATTGCATGGATTAAGTGAGGCATTTCAAAGAACTTATGATCATTTTCTTCATGAATTATATCTGACTTGCTACTTCATGGGGATATGAAACTTAAGTCATTCATTTGTAATTTTGTATTTGCTTTTTTTTTCTAATTACAAACTTATAAATTGTAGTATGGCCAAGCTTTTTTTTTTTCTTTTCAATCAGTTACATACTGGTAGAAGGAAGGATAGAAGCTTAGAGATATTAATAAGACTGCAAACCTTGGAGAGAATAGCATAAGAAACTGTCATGTAATTTTCCCTTTGTCCTCTATTCAATCATATATGGTGTGTTCAGCACACTGTAGTGAGGTTAGTTTACTGGCTTAATGTTATTTCATTCAAGATTGATGTTATACCTTGTACTTCTATGCAGCAAGTTGCATCGCGGCTAGGACTTACTCAAGGCTCTGTTAGGCATTATGGCTTGGATGGTGATGTCAATGGAGTTTTATTAATGGCTGACATTGTTCTATATGGTACCTCCCAAGAAGAACAGGGGTTTCCTTCATTAATTGTCCGAGCCATGACCTTTGGTATCCCTGTCATCACACCTGATTTTCCTATCATGAAAAAATATGTAGGTCCATTTACATTATTTTCTTCTTAGTTCATAATTTCTTATTTGTGTATGTGTATGCATGCGTGCACGAGAGAGAGAGAGAGAGAGTGGACTTGTTATTCTGTATCTTACATTTTAAATGGCTCTGAAATGACAGGTGGTTGATGGAACCCATGGTGTTTTTTTCCCAAAACATCAGCCTGATGCTTTGTTGAGGGCTTTCTCTCTTTTGATTTTGAATGGCAGACTCTCCAGATTTGCTCAGACAGTTGCTTCTTCTGGAAGACTGCTTGCTAAGAACATTTTGGCATCTGAATCCATAACTGGTTATGCAAGCCTTCTTGAAAATTTACTCAATTTCCCATCAGATGTCTTGCTGCCAGCTCCTGTTTCTCAACTTAGGCAGGGATCATGGGAATGGAATGTTTTCGGGATGGAAATCGAGCACGGAACTGGTGATATTTCCAGAAATTTTAGTGTTGTTTATGCCCTTGAGGAGGAATTTACCAAGCACACCTTTTCATCAGACATATCTCAGAATGGAGCTGAGATTCAGGATCAGGATATCCCAACTGAACAGGACTGGGATATCGTGACAGAAATTGAGAATTTTGAAGATTATGAAAGACTTGAAATGGAAGAGGTATGATAATTCTTCATAATTACAGTCATTTGTTTGGATCTCTCCCCACCCTGACCTTGTTCTTCTCCTCTTGTAACTATTTTCTTTTTATTATATTTAACTTTCTCATGAATGCACAGTGATGTGAAAAAATATTATTTCTTTTTCCTTAATTCTGTAGGTTGAAGAAAGAATGGAGAGAAATCCTGGTGTATGGGATGAAATATATCGAAATGCTCGGAGATCTGAGAAACTGAAGTTTGAGGCAAATGAAAGAGATGAGGGAGAGCTAGAAAGGACAGGTCAACCAGTATGCATTTATGAGATCTATAGTGGCGCTGGGGCCTGGCCATTCTTGCACCATGGATCTTTGTACCGAGGACTAAGTCTTGTGAGTTTCTCCTAATCCATATTTGGTATTTTATCTTTTAATCAATCTTCATTACATTTCTTTTTATGTCTTCTTCGTCATTTTCTCATGAGTGTTTTTGTGATTTTATGATCTGGAACATTTAACTATGATCGAGTGTTGATTCAATTGAAGAGAAATCATGTACCAGAAAGTATTGTATAAACAATATCTTCATATAGTTCTTGACAAAAATGCTTTGAATCTTTTTATGTAATTGTTGGGTAGCTTGAGTTTTCTTGCGAAGGGTGAATAGAATGCTTGCTCAAAAATCTGACATGAAAAATTTGCACTTGGAGAAACTTTGTACAGATCATAGCTTCCCCAACCATCCAGCCCCACCGTTTTTCTTCTTTAACGTAGTCTACGTATATACTTATAATAGATTTCTTGTATTTGCTGTAGTGCTCCTTAGTCCTTTTTTCACCTTGTAGAGGAGCTTTCCTTTCTTATTTGTTTGGCTACTGACAAATGATGTATTAAAATAAGTAGTTTTCACATTTGTAACTATTCATTTTATATGTCAGTCTAGGAGAGCAAGGAGGTTGAGATCAGATGATGTGGATGCTGTTGGTCGACTTCCAGTTTTGAATGACACTCACTATCGGGATTTGTTATGTGAAGTTGGAGGGATGTTTTCCGTTGCAAATAGGGTGGATAACATTCACAAGAGACCTTGGATTGGTTTTCAATCATGGCGTGCTGCTGGTAGGAAGGTATTCCTTATATTGATGATATGGTGTTTAATTGTTGAATATTAGCTGGAGTTTTATGAACCAATTTTTTGGTTATTCAAATTTTTCAGTGTTGTGATAGAAGGGTGGTAGAACACTGTACAGTGAAAGGGAGTAAATGGTTTACTTTATCCTGTTCAGAATTTTTTTATTTTGAGGGGGGTGTTGGGGGATGGTTTGAAGGTGAACCAAATCCCTCGAATACCCCGTTAATCATTTTTTTAATTCCCCCAAATCAGGATGATTTCCCTTTTACCCCTCAAAATTTATTTTAAGAACTATCTTCAATCAGGGTGCAATGATAATGGTGTATAAACTCACTCCTTTACTCTCCTCTGCACTCAAAAAAATCAAGGAAGAGTTGTTTATTCTACTATAATCTTAGCTTTCCATCTGTTTACTCTGTTTATTGTTAGTATATAAAGGAGGAAAAAACAATAGTTCCTAAAACAAAAGAAATCCATTTCTTTTTTGATTCAAGTCTACAAGTATCTGGTTTTGGAGTTTGCAATTATTGACTGCTCCGTCTTTTTCTCTAAATAGGTTTCATTGTCCACAAAAGCTGAAGATGTTCTGGAAGAAACAATTCAAGGAAGTAAAGGAGATGTAATGTACTTTTGGGCGCGCCTTGACGTTGATGGTGAAGGTGCAGGCACCAATGATGCACTCACATTTTGGTCAATCTGTGATATGTTAAATGCTGGACGCTGCAGGTTTGTTTTACTAAATATCCGTTGGAAATATGATTTGTTATGCATTGTAGGTGATGGTGTCATCTGTCATGCCTTGCTGATGCCAAGATTTGCACTTTAATTTTCCATGAGTTGAATGAGGGTATTTTGCTTGCCATCTTGTCATGTTGTAGATATACAGACAATTTCTTCCTACATCAAGTTGCTTTTCCCTAAGTTCCTTCTTCCTGTTGAGATGCTTTTCAAATCAAATATGTCAGAGGTTTTTTTTTCCTGAAGTTGTCATGGTACCATTTTGATTATTGTTACAAATAGGAGACCAAGGAAAGATTGAGATGTTTACATGGTAAAAGCTCCTTTTACCTGTTCCGTAACACCTTTTGGTAAGCTGAAAACAAGATAGGCGGGGTCGTGAAGAGGTAATCATTGGCTGTGACTTTGGCCTAATTCTTAGCATCCTTTATTCGGTTTTAAGCCTGGTCTCATCAAAGTTCAACATTTCTTGTTCATGAACATGGGTCAAGATCAAATCAATAGGTGAGGAGATGATAATTAGTCATTGGCTGGGATTTGGGCTTCAGGCTTGGTTTATTTAAAGCTCAACATTTGTTGTTTAAGAACCTGAGGATCTGGTTTTATAGGTTAGGAGGTTATCATGTGCTGAAACTGGGTGTGGATGCTTATTCATTTTTTATGGGCCTAGAAGCTGAGCTTTTCAAAAATTTGGAACAAATTTCTTATCCAAGCCTGAGTCTGATAGGGTCTAGATAGGTTATTGGTTGAGTTATATGGACATGCAACTGCTGCTTTGTTATGTAACTTGCACTAGATAGGTGGGTATCTTAAATTAGTTTTATTGCTATATGAAAAATATATGGAGTGGCTTAGAAGATTACTTTAAATGCCTGCAGAACTGCTTTTGAAAGTGCTTTCCGCAAGATGTATATATTGCCATCGGATATGGAAGCTCTTCCTCCCATGCCCAAAGATGATGGTCACTGGTCTGCCTTGCATAGCTGGGTGATGCCAACCACTTCCTTTCTGGAGTTTGTAATGTTTTCACGGTAATCTACAGAGCCTGCTCTTCTTTTTTTGGCATCTTATCTGTTTTTCTCTTTTCAATATCGAGCAAAGTACAGTAGATGATGACAGGAAACTTATATAATCGGACTGCAGGATGTTTGTTGATTCCCTTGATGCCTTGCATACCAACTCTGGTGAGGTCAATTTGTGTTTGTTGGGTTCCTCAGAGCTTGAGGTAAGTTGTGTAGTTCCTATAACATCTGTGGGTTTCAGTGAGAGTATAATCATAACAGTGCTCTTCTTTGTTTATTTAATTATGGACAGAAAAAACACTGTTACTGTCGGGTATTGGAACTCTTGGTCAATGTCTGGGCTTACCATAGTGGGCGGAGGATGGTCTACATAGATCCACACTCTGGTTTGCTCGAAGAGCAACATCCAGTTGATCAGAGAAAAGAATTTATGTGGGCTAGATATTTTAACTTTACATTATTAAAGAGTATGGATGAAGATCTAGCAGAGGCTGCAGACGATGAAGACCACCCGAGGAAGATGTGGTTGTGGCCATTGACAGGGGAAGTGCATTGGCAAGGAATTTATGAGAGGGAGAGGGAAGAAAGATACAGGCTGAAGATGGACAAAAAGAGGAAAACTAAGGAGAAACTATTTGAAAGGATGAAGAATGGGTACAAGCAGAGATCACTCGGATAATAGGATACTTAGAAGCTAAATCTAGATGACTTTATACTAACTTAGAAACACTCGACTTCTAGCACAGCTACTGAACCCTTATTTTTTCCCAAACTGGGAAGAGCGGAAAACTGCTGCATACAAGAGAAGCCTAGTTACATCTAACAGCACAGTTGGAGAAATTTTATTCTTCTCATTTTTTATGTCAAGTAAAATTGCTTTCAAGGAGGAAGGGGAGAACAAAGCAGCTTCCCAGCAATTTCGGTTCACTAGCGATTCAAAGCCGTTTCACAGGGTTTTCTCATGAGGCACACAGCATACCAGGATTCTGGTAAACATGGCAAGACTGATAGAAATTCCTTTCACCATATAGAACATTCAATCCAGTAGATATATTCCTTTTTTTTTTTCGTTCTCTATTTAATTGGCGCTGGTAGATATATTCTTTCATCATTGTATATTTTATTTTGGTTCAGGGGGGGAAAGAAAATGAAGGGGCAAACTAGGATTGTAGTTTGATCAGAATTGTAGTTCAGTTTCTGGTGAGGCTTGCTTTTCTGATTGTTTTATTCTATTGACAGTCTGATAAGGCAAACTAGGATCTTGTTTTGTTTTTTTTTTTGATAATATAGAATGGTCCCTCCTTTTGACTACTAAAACGAATAAAGAGTTTATGAAGTTATTATTTATCAGTACAGGGATATTATTTTTGAGTAGTGTTATTCAATAATGTTACTCTCATAAGAATGAGCATCAGCATACTGCTTGTGTCATGTGCCAAGATTTTAATTCAACTTTCGTGCGGTGTTAAATTTTGAAGATCGAGGTAGGTCTAAATTAAAATGAATCTTTTTTTCTTATACGGAAAGAGCTCAGAACATGTCATAGATCTTAATTTCAAAAAAGCTTAGATGAATTTTGAATTTATAAATAAATGTTCTTTTTTTGCTTAAAAAGTATGATTTGTATTCGTGAGCTTGAGACACTTGTGGCAATAAAGAGAGCATAGAACTTGTGCGTGGCCATGGGTTTTTTTAACAAGATTAAAATTAATTTTGACACTTTAAGTTACAAAAATACTTGCTTAAGTATTAAAAAATAATATTTAAATAATAATAACAATTTCAATACATTATTAATTCAAGTATCTCTAAAGTTAATAAAAAAATATAAAATCTTTGATTTATTTTGTATTTTGTTTAATATTTTAAAATTTGTCAATCTTGATGCATATGCTTTCAAAAAACCATTGAAATTTGAAATTTAACTTGAAATTTTGGATAAGATATTGATACAAGGGATGTGATTAATGAGATAAGAAAATATTAATTTATCTAAGAAAGATATAATGTTTGAAAAAATTCTTACATTATTAAAATTTTTTTTAATAAATTTTATTCTTTTGTTACATTTAATAAATTTTTATATTTTTATTTTAAATTAAATAAATTTTATAATTAATAATTAATTAATTATTATTAATTAAAATACTATTTATCATTTTATACTCTACCGAAATTGATATGAAAAGTGAAAATAACACACAATAATATCATCATATCAATCATTATCTATTATGATATATTAATATGTCACATAAGTATTGTTTAATAAATAATATTTTAATTAGTAATAAATAATTAATCATTAATTATAAAAAATATTTAATTTAAAACAAAAATATAAAAATTATATTGAATGTAATAAAATAATAACAACTTTATTAAATTTTTAAATAAGTTAAAGATATTTTAAAGTATTATACCAATTAAAAACCGTTGTAAACGAACCAAACCAACAAATTCAATCGGGTTGAACCCGACCGACTCATTAAAATGAAAAAAAAAATAAGAGAGCATTTCAGAATGGTGTATGGTGCTTCTTTCAGTAGAATCCCGCCCACCCAACCCCCAGCAAGGACCAATTGGAGCACAGTTACAGTTATCCTTTTACTCTCGTTACAGTAGGGTTTTAAAACATTTCTCCAAACCCCCAGATAATTTCACCAAAAAAACAAAAAAACAAGAAAAGAAAAGAAAACCCCAATCTCTCTCTCAGTCTATCTTCAGGTAAGCACTCTTTCTCTGTTCATTTCCCTACTTTAAAGCTTCTTTTTTTTTTTTAATTTTATTTTCCTGGGTGATCTTCGATATTCAATTCCGACTATGAACTTTGATTATCTTGTTAGTTTTAATTGCTGGGTTTTCTTTTTCGTCTTAGCTTAGAGTTTCTTTCGGTCAGCAAGTTATAATTTGCCTATGCACTTCAGATTATGGGGTCATTTTGTAACTAGTTTTGAGTGTTTGTCTTGTATTGGTTTGGACATTCGACCTTTTATGGGACTTTGGCAGTTGGTTCCTTGAAGTGTTTTTTGCCCCTTCTTTCTTTCAGTTTTGACCCCTTTTTGAAGTTGGTGTTGCAACGTCTTTAATGCTTGAAATGAAATGGGTATTATTTATATTAAGTTTAAATATTGGGAAATGAACTGCTGCTTTTTTTCGGTTGAATTTTAAAAGTTTGTAATTTTTTTGAAGTTCTTTAGCTGGAAAATTAAAACTTTGAACCGAATTGAACCTGGCTTCAAGCTATTAGCTTTGCTAGGATCAGTGAGGCTCCATTTGCTTGTTATTATTTGCTTTTGGAATAAAAATCCATAAAATTCCCTTGGATGCAAAAGCAAGTAATACATTTGAAGAATTAAAAGCTAAAATTGTAAATTATTGGAGAACAAAATGCATGATTTTACTTTAATTTAGAGTAACCGTGTTAGAATTTGTGTTGCAGTTTAGTCATTTGTTCATTTTTAGTCAATTATGAATTTACTTTTACTTTTTAGGAAACAAAGTGCAAAAGGCAAATAAAAAACAAGTCACAACGGAGCCTAAAGTTTTATTGTCTGGAAATAGAAAAAGAAATAAAATCTATATAAAAAATTTACATGGTGTTGATGTTAGGATGTCATGATTCAGAAGCTTTTGCAGATTCTCTTATACTCTAGCTGGATTGGTGTGGAGCTGTCACTTTTGAAAACATTGGGATTTGTCATACTAGTTTGAGAAATGTGCACAGCCTCCTAGCTAAATATTTTCTTGCTAAATTTTCCCATAATATATAGATGGATAGTGCCTTTTAATGCTTATCTTTTGTTTGTCATTTTCCTGGAAAGATGGTCCTTCTGTTATGTCACTGTTTTGAGGTAAGCAGGTGCTTTGTTAGAATTAATAAATAAATGGAAAATTATGGATATTGTTTTTATGTTTCACTTGCCTGAGAAGAAATGTAAGCTTCTACATAATGGTAACCATAGGAATTGAAACACTAGGAAAGATATTTATCCAGCTGTAAATGTTAATGAAAAGGAAGTGATGCATGATGGAAAGAAGGTAGTTGAGGGATTAAATTATTGAAGATATTAATTGCTAGTCTTCTGTGCTAATAGTAATTTCCATATAGTTTTAGGATGTTTTAGATTATTTAGGTTATTTTATATCAATTAGTATTTGCTTATTTTCTAAGCATTTGGATACTAGGGCGGTATGTTGTTATGCTTTCAAGTTGATGTTAGGGTTTAAGATTTAGCTTTTGAGTACCTATGTTTTTTTTTCCAGTTTCTAGTAGCTTCGTATTATCGAGCTTTTGATAATTTGAGATTTTGATATTAAAACTTGATTATTGAGATTTTGGGATGCCGCATATAGCTAAGCTGACTGGTCAGCAATACATTCTACCTTTGCAAGATTTTTAGAAGAAGCCAATTTACTGGAGGAAGGTTAATGGTAACTTTTGTGAGTTGTACTGGATTAGCAATCCAATTGCAAGCTGGCTTGGGAGAGGGAAATGAGGTGAAGAAACGATTATGAAATGCAATACCAGATATTGCAGTCCAATAACTAGTCAAAAAATTTCTCCCTACTCTCCCTTTTTAATATTTTATATTTTTTTTCTTCTTGGGGTTGGGGGAAGGGGTTTTGGTGGCTTAGAGGTCTGGGGTTCATTTTGAGATATTACAGGAACCAGATACCATTATTCTTTCTGTTGTCTCCTTTTGGTGCAAATGATTACCCTATTTATTTCTTTTTGTTATCATTTGTGTAGAATGAATGTTTGCATAAATCAATGTAGCTTTTGTAAGGAATCTGTGCTTGGCCTTTTGTAACATAATATTTAAGTGTTTATTTTTTGAATCCTTGTGTTGCTGTTAATCTTATTATAATTTAAAATGCGAAGTAAGATATGGCCATTCTGGTCTTGCTAATGACCAAGTGGCTGTTGATGCATCATGGCTGGCTGTGGACTGCATAAGCTTAACTATAAAATAATTATTTTTGGATCAGACTTTTCTTACTGATTTGTTTTATTCTATATCATGTAGGTGTATATGCTGTAAGCTGGTAAACCTTCTTATCCTGATGCATGCTATAAAAGGTGGATGGGTTGGGCAGACATTTGCCCTAGCTAAATGCAATGAGCAAGGAGGGAAGAAGTCTCGGATTCGGCGTTCAAAGGAGGAAAGGAAGGCAATGGTTGAATCTTTTATAAGAAAGTAACCCAACATATCCTATTCCTTTTATTTGCTAGTACTGGTGAATCTAGTGGTATCATCTTAATATGTGATGAGCAGTTGCCTCTGTTTTGATTCGAATCCCCGTTCTATATTTCTGCCGTGGTACTCATAATATTATTCTTCTGTACATAGTTGGATATTTTTGCAATACAGGTTTTCTGAATAAACTGACTTTGATCCAATCACTGCTAACTTTAAGTGGGTTAATAGAAATCGCTCCAAAAAAACTTAACCACATCCCCCCCCCCCTCCTTTTTTTTTTGTTTTTTTTTAATCTAGTTTGACAATCTTATTGGCATACATGGAACTTTTTAAAATACTATGTATTAAAAGAAGATTGTGATAAGTATTCTTTGCCCAATTTAAATTTGTGATCCATAATATCTTTCTGCTTGCCAACTGATAGAAGGTATCAAAGTTATGAAGAAAGAGCAGTGCATGATAACTGGCCTTATATCATGAGAATATAAAAAGTTAGAAGTGGCATTTGGTCATGTTTTTTGAGAACATTGATGTAACATGTCTATGTCCCATACTCACATTGGTAAGCTTATATGTTCTATAAGTATGTGATTATAAACTTGATAGAACCAAATGAGCCTTTTATTAGCTTTTAGAAGTATAGTTTGCCTACCAAACTTTCATTTTTCAATGCCTAAATTTATTCTATTTCTTTGAAGACTGTGTTGTGAGACACATTTTGGCCTGTATTTGGAACTGAATATACTTTGTTTTGTATAGGAATTTTTTGCAAACGCAACATGTAAAATGTGGAGATCTCTAAATCAACCAACTTTCAGCGGACTTGGTAGTAAAAAATTGAAATGGTGGCATTTCATGAACTTGTTGACATCATCCTTTGCCTTTATGCCTTGTGGGAGCATCATTTGTTGTCCATTCAGTGTGAAATATTAGACTTCTAAAACCTATCTAAACTTATTGGACTTAGTTCAGTTTCCATGTTGCATCTAATTTGGTGTTCCTAATTTAATATTAATTTTAGTCTTATTATCTGGTGTGCAGTTTATTTATCTATCTTCATTGTGGATTTTTAGACTTATGGGTTCTTACCCCTTTGATGAAGTTGTT